AAGAGCGGAGTCATTTGTGAGTCATGGAGGCTAGCTTTTTCCTTGAGCTGGGAGCTATGTCCTGAGAGGCACAAAACCAAGATGTTACATCACCATTTGCAAGCTGGGGAGTTAACTTGGGGATAAACATGTCCTGCTTGCCTTTTCTAGGGCCCTTCTCTGCCATGTGGTGTGTGTTCTGCCTCAGCTAGTGAGGTGGTTAGCTGCTTCCATCATGGCATGTAGGGATTAGTGACTTGTTGGGCACAGTGGACCCCAGCACTGCTGAATTTCAATGCGCTGAACCGTACCAGAAACCAAACTGGCCTGTAAGCAGAGTGGGAAAAGCAGGGCAAGTCCCTGACTCGGACCCTACCAGAGAGGAGCAGGTAAAGGCTGTGAGTGCTGTGACCACAGCTGGGTCTCAGGATGAAGGCTGCTGCTGTCTTTGGTCACCTCAAGGTGAGGGCTGGCAAAGCGCTGTGCCAGAAAACCAGTAGGGAATTTGGGTCCAGCAAGAGCTACGTCAGTACTGGGAGGAAAGGTTGTTGCCTTAGCCATTGTGCAAGCTTTGTCTGTAATATTTTGTTATTTCCCTGGATTTTTCTTTCCAAATCACCAGCTTCCCTCCCTCTTACAGAAATTATACTGTGCTTGCTTAACAAGGTGCTGAGGAGGTAGAAGGATATGTAATTTACTGCATGTGAGGCTGTCTCTAAAACTCATGGTTTTGGTTCCCTTTCAGTGCCTGCTTTGCTGTGTCCTGTGTGCTGATTGCCTACGGTGCCAGTAACCCGGACTGTAAGTAGGCACTTCTCTGCTGAGCTGGGAGGGCTTTGGGGCTGTGGCTTGGGGTTTTTTGGGGGAAGCAGACAAGCATGCATGGCACTGCGTGCTCTGTCACACCTCCAGTGCTGTACTGGGGTCTTGCTGAGGGCACAAGCCAAGCATCTGCTGGCCTGTGGGAGCTAAGCGGCTCTGGGGAGGGCTGGTGTTTCACAACCCTAAGTGGAGAGCGTAGCAAGGGCTAAATGTCTGAGATAGCCAGGTCTCTCAGCTTTGCATTTGGGCAGGGCTGGGTCCTGTAAAGGAGCAATTCCAAACAAGTTCATGGCTTTTTCAGGGTTGGGAAATAGGTAATAGCACATGATGTGTAATTGGCTTTCTCACCAGGGATGGATGGAGCTTGCTCCTCAAGACCAGGTAGTGGGATGACACTTTCAATCCAGTTCTTTCAATTAAATCTTCCTTTTAAGACCCATTCAGACAAGCTGCATCAGCAAGTCTGTTCATTAGGAAAAAAGACCCATCCATCCTGGAGAGAGATGATCATTCCATCCTGAACTCTGTTTTGGAGGAGAGCCCTGGCCCTGGGAGGGTCTGGAGAGATGGGTGCTCGGTCAGGGTGGCATATCCTGAGATATCCATGGAGATTTTTATGTGTCAGGACCAAAGCCCTGAGGGCTCTGTCTCCTTTCCCTCTCCACCCCAGTAGAGGCTAAGGGCGTGTTTTTTTTCTTGTTGCAGCTCTGTCTGTGCTGATATTCATTGCGCTGGCTCTGAATGGCTTTGGTGGGATGTGCATGACCTTCACATCGCTTACGGTAATTGAAGAGTTATTACCTGACTCTATTTTATTCCTTACTATGGCTGTGAGGTGGGCTATCAGGAAAGAACAAAGAGGATCTCTTGCCTGTGGCCTGAATAGCACATGTTTTTATTTGGTACAAAGGGTCAGTCACTCTTATCGGAAAGGCTGAGTACTAGGTGGTTATTCTAAGGCTTTTTTCCCCCCAGTTTTTTTTTTTCCCACTTGCCCCTTGCATCTCGGGTGAAGTTGGGGGGTGGGGGGTGGGGAAGAAGTGTTTTTGTCAAGGACTTAAATTGTCATATGCCTGTACATGCAGTGCTCAGCTACCTGGCACAGGCTGGACATGTGTTTGCACTGGATTTAGCATTGACATACTGCAGAAAGAATTGGCAGGGCACAAACCCTTGCAGCTGGGTATGACCAGCTTTCTGCAAGTGCAGTTTGCATCTCACCCCAGGAAAATGGTTGTTCTTGAGCACAAAAGCTTTTACTCTGAGGGGTGAGTCTCCCTTATGGGTTTCCCTAGAAATGTTGCATTGTTCAATGCACCCAGCTCCATCTGCACAGCCCATTTAGATCTGTTTAGTCCCTGGATTGTATTGCAAGCACTGGTCAACAACTGTCAGCTGGATCTCTGCATTTTGGGGATCTTTTTGCCTGGAGACAGAAGCAGTATCATCCTCCAAGTAGCTGCTTTATTTTCTACCTCATTACAGTGATCCTTGTCAGTGTGGCTGAAACAGGGCTGGGTGGAAAGTCTCCCAGAAAACAGTCTGGGCAGCACTGATGTTTCTTGAGCTGTGATTAAAAACTTTCATATTTGGATTGCGTTACCTTGAACTTGCTGTTGAAGTAAAACTTTCTGTTAAGATTACCTCTAATTTAACGAGGCTCAGACACTGGCTGAACTCCTGAGACCTAAATTTGGCAAGAGGCTGGGTTTACAGATAACTGGGTGTACTGTGATGTTGCTGCCGCTGTTGCTTTCATATATTCAAAGCTTTCAAAACTCTTTGCAGATGTCAGTTTTTCCTTCATATGTAGTGTTCTTCACTGGAAGCCTTGGCCGTGGTCCCAAAGAACTATGGGGCAAATGTCATCCTGCCATGCTTCAAATAAAAGCAAGGAAGAGAGGAGCACATCAGTACTGCTGTGGGAGAGGAGAGGATTCCCATCCTGCTGCTGGCAGCATTGGTTATTGTCTCTCTGGGTGGTTATTGAGGGGTCACAGATTATTTTACAGCCACTGGTGATGATAGGAGGGAGGGCAAGGATAGGGCAGAAATAGATTGGATGTGCTGTACTGTGGCTTTTAGCACCAGAAGGAAGCAAAGCCACTTATTAGCACCCTCATTAGCGAGCCAGTTCCGCAGCACTAAGGAAGTACAGCGGCAGGAAAAAGGTCGAGTCTTCCAAGAAGAGATCCGAGCCTTGAGGAGGTCTGAAGCAAGTAGCGATGCTGTGAGTTCACACAGGGAGACCTCGGGTGGAGTCCATCCACCTCCAGACAGCAGTGTGTTTTGTAAAGAGCTGAGGTGGCTTCAGGCCTGACTTCTCAAATCCGGATTCAGGTGTCACTGCTTGTGCCTCCTTGCAGAGCCGCCCAGAGGCATTTCGGTACCTGAGGCACGTGAATGTGATTAAAAATAGTCTAAAGTGGGAGGGAAGCACTTCACCTGCATCATGGCATAGCTGTGGTGGTGACTGTTAAAAGCAGGTGTATGTTTGCTCATTGGCAGCTCACTGTTTTGTCCTTGCATGGTTCTGCCTGCAAGCTGGGGCGCTCGCAGGTGGTGCATCAAGAGCAGTCTTCTGCGGCGACATGGTGATGTCTTGTGGGTCCCTTCCAGCTGTGGCCCACGGATACAGGGAGTGTGGCAAGAGAGGGACATGGGGATGACAGATCCACGGCTTGCGGGCTCCAGGTGACGTGGCTTGCATGCACTGTGCTCTGCATTGTGCCCGGGAGAGGCTGAATTAAGCGCTGAAAGGGGAAACTCGAAGACGTTTTTAAGGACGTTCATTACACAGAGGTGTGAGCACTGATCAACTTCTGGTGCCAGGTAACCTTGTTCTGGCTGACACAGGCACTGACTGCCGAGCGCACACGTGCGCGCGCAAGTCAAAGCAAGGTGACTTCCTTCTCCTACCAGCCGCAAGTGACTTGAAGTGCTCCAGGAAATGGGTCAAACCCATTGGTGCATGAGCTGGTCCTTGGCCACCCCAGGCAGGTTACAGTTGCTGCTTTGTAGCCGGATGGCTGTGAAGGGAGCCCCTGCAGCATGTGGATGTGGGATGCTCACCGGGTGCTGCGGCTTGTAGGGCTTCATCATGTTGAAACCTCCCAGGACACCCACGTGTGTGGGCGTGGTGTGCTCTAACGGGAGGGCAAGAGGTGGGGATGCGCGGTGCTGGAGCAAGGGATCTCCGAGGTTTACAGCCTGGGACGGTACGAAGCTTTGCCTCTTGGGTTTAAAGCCTTTTTCAGTAACAAGTCCCCAGGGTATCATGAAAGCCCATGGCAAGCTGCGGAGCCAAAGCAAGCTGCCATTGCTGGGTGCCTTGCGTTGTGGTGCGGGGAAGGGGGGGGAGTGAGCGAGTGGTGCTGTTCCCAGTTCTGGGAACAAGGTCAGACTGTGCCTGTTGTTAAAATGCGGCGGGGAGATCTCTGCCTCGTGACTTCATCTTGGCCAATACAAGTGAAGATTGGAAATGGAAACAGATCTGTGTTGGTGGCTCTGACAGCAACACAGGAATCTGGCGCTGGTTCTGCTCCGAAGCTATTTCATGCAAAGAAATAAACATGTGTGATAAATTACCACAAAGAGCCTTTTATAGATTGTTTTCTGCCCTGTTTTCCTTTCAAAGAATTACAGCTGCTTTGCTCTTATTTTCTGGTACAAACAGCGCTTTTTAATCGGAGCGGGGGGGCATCTCTGTGTAGGGGATCTTCTCTGCTCGGAAATATTAGGAAAACTTAGGGCTCTGTGATCTTTTGTTCGTTGGAGAATGGGAACAGGAATTTCCATATGCTTTGGACAAAGCAGGCAGTCTGAGGCTTTCCTGGAGAACATATTTTTAGTGTCTGTATGACTTCCAAATATACCCCTGATAGGGAAAACAAAGTTTAGCTTGAACAAAAATACTGTTCTCCAGTAGTCTAGTTCGCAGTCCCTTGACTTTTTCCACTGTTCTTTCAAACAGTCCTTGCAAGAGGAGGGAAACTGGGTTTTGTAATACCACTGTGGTATCTTTTGTATATGGATGGTCTCCAGGAAAAAGCTGAAAAAATTATAAAAAATTATTGAAGGTCTTAAACTCACTATAGGACAGATGAGAAAATAATCTGCAAGAAGAAATTATTTTATCAGTTTAGGATTGCATAGCTGTAATAAAGGACTCCAAGAAAAAACAGTTATGGCAAAATTAAGTTAGTATCTTAAACAGGGCATAAAGTTAATAATGCTTTGAGTATTATTGACCTTTAAACAGAAGGTGTAAGAGTTTTTGTTGTTGTAGGTCTTGTGGAATTGGGGCTGTCATACCAGAATGGGCAGAAGCTAGTGGAGGAGTCCCTTCTGGCTTGTAGAGATAACATCAGAGTGAGGATCAGATCTTTTTGGTGGCAGAAAAACAAAGAGCCCACTTGCTCTGTGGCTTGGCTTTTTTTTTTCCTCTCTCTATGGTTCATTTTTTCCAATCCTTGCTGCTATAAAGACAGCATGAAAAATGCCTTAGTAAATATTGTGTGTTATTTCAGTAGCCAGTCTTTAGAGGAGACCTGCACAGGCATTGCCAGTGCTGGCACTTGCACTTTCAGAGGTTTTCTGTCTGGGCATGGATGACTTTCTCCCCTCACCTCCCCTCTGCCCCTCCAGGTAGTCTCGGGCTTCTTCTCCCAAGTGCTCAGTGTTTGCAGTTTCTGCTTTAATTGGGTTTGATAAGACCTTAAATCTCCTATGTCCATTTTTTTAATCTATCTGCTTGCTTGGTGCCAAACAGGTTTTTAGGAAATCTCTTAGCCTTTCTAGGCCTTCTGTCCCCATCTAGGCAGAAGCAAACTTTGGGTCTCCCCAGACGTGACTACTTGTTTTTGGTCCTGCTCTGTCTCCAGTAGCTCTCAGAGCAGGAGGATCCACCTGGGAGTTGCTTGTCTGCTGTATGAAAAAGGCTTTTTGTGATCTCTGGGGCTCTGGGGAAAACCCGCCTGAGCCAAGAAGCAGCTGTGTTTGTGGAGCTCTTGCCCTGCTCTGAGCTCCCCAGCAGGAGCAGCTGTTTGCTGTAATTTCTGGAGATTATTTTAGGTTTGGGGTATTTGCAATGAAATGAATGCCCTGCCTGGTGACAGTCGCTAGCCTTTTTGCGACCTGCAGGTACTGTATTCTGCAGATGCTGTTTTCTGGGGTGTATATTTAGGCCACTGCTTCCAAGAAGAGATTTTTGTGCCTGGTAACAGACCGTTGGATCCTTTGCTGTTTCCTGTCTGCAGCTCCTGAAAGCAGCCTTGGCAGCTCTCCCGCATGCGGGGATCTGGGGATGGGTGTGGGGATCTTCGCTGCAGAGGAGTGCAGCGTTCTCTGCCTCTGCCGTGTGTGTCTGCTCGGGGTTCACCAGCACCATCAGGCTCGGCACATCGCTGCTGCTGTTCCCTGGCTGGGGTTATCTGAGGACCTGGAGACTGCACTGCATAGGAAGCTCTGCAGTGAGACAGAGGGATGATAAATAGCCAGATGGATCCTAGAGTGTTCCTGCACAGGAATACTTGTGTTGTAAACACGCTGGTCCTGCCATGACACAAGCCAGATTTGCTTGCCTTATATGCTACTCCTGGGAAAGATGGATTTGTTTTCCAGCAGTGAAAGGGGAATGTGATGACAGCATTTGCTTGCTCAGACTCAGTCTAATATTTTCTGAATAATTTTGTTCAGCAGCATCTTTGTACAGATAAAATGCTGGTAGTGCTTTCAGTCCTGGAAGGCACTTGCGGTGTCCTGTTTTGAGGCCCTCAGACTGACGTGGTGATGCCCAAATGAATTTGGGGAGTAAGTGACCTAAAAAAAGGAGGTGGGAGGGAAATCTGACTGCAGCGGAATCTCTGCTCATTGACCAGCTTCAGGAGGTATCTGTTGAGGCTACAACTTCAAAGCTTCTCCCTGTAATTTCCAGTTTGCAGGCCATCATTAGTCAGTGATGGAAACTTTTTCACTTCTGGTTGTTTAGAAAAATGGAGAGTTCCTCCTTTCCCAGGAGAGTGGGAAGGTCTCACAGCTCTTTTGGCCTCTTCTACTCTGCTTGTTGGTCCTGAGTGGAAGCAGAGGCTGGAGAGCCAGACTGGGAGTGCTTTTGCTGTTGAGGTGGCAGAAGTGGCTGCTGTGAGCTGCTTCTAGCTGCCCCTGCTGAGAGCTTTGCTTTCCCAACAGATCCTTGCAGAACCAGCCTGGTCTGCCCTCAGCAATGCAGTCACACCTGACAGGAGCCCAGGTGGTGAAGTGGGGTGGGTGGCAGGAATAGCAACACAAGGTGCAGTTGCCCACTCCTTGCTGTGGAGTTCAGCAGCTCTGTGGTTGCACTGGGCATAAAGCCTTGGAAATCTGGTGTTATTGCTTTCCTGCACCTAGCTCCAAGATAGTGTGCTTGGGCATCAGAGCCGTCCAACACATGGAGAAATTACCAGCTTTAGCCCCTCTCGTAGAGAGAGTCTGCTTTCACAGAAGGAACCAGGGACCTAGCTAGAAATGGAAGTGCAAACAGCAGCACAGTTCGTGTTTGTATCTGTTCCTTCTTGTTATAACAGGAACTTTCTGGTCTACTGCAAAGATTTGGGTGCTGACCCAAGCTTCCTAAACAAATGTGGCAGTTCAAGGTGTTGCGGGGTGTGTTAGACTGTGCAGCAATCACATCCTGTGTCTAACAACTCTGGACTAAAAAGAAGGTGTTATGTAGAGAACTTGGGCACATACATTTGGGAGAGGAAAAGAAGTAGTGGCTATGGGCTTGGGGTAAGGATCTCTTAAAGCACCAGGGCTGGAGCAAACACTCCTGTGCTAAAGGGAACCAATGCAAAATATGCTGCTAGTCTGGGAAGAAGCAGTGTCATTAAGCACATAAATCTTAGACTGTAGAGCTTCCCTGACACTGGAGACACCAATGCAACCTGAAGAGCAATATCCTGAACAGCTAAGTCATTCTTGAATAAAACTGGCTGCTTCAGATTCTGGTATTCAGAAAGTCTTAATCCTAAATGCCAGATTTATGTCTTCTCAAGAAAGTCTCCTTCCCTTTTATTCCTTTCTGTTGGCAGCAGCC